CCACATTACAACACATTCGGAGGATTCATGAAACATTGTAGCACGTGTGTAAGACAGGGCTGCTATTTCTCTGATCCAAATGGCCCTATGTTCCTCTGCAGAAGTTACCAGTGACTGTGCAGAAAGATTTAACTTTCCTTGGACCTCATCATGAGCGACAGTGGAGTGCCAGGTGCCCAGCATCCTCCGCTCACACTGAGAATCCTCTATTTATTCAGCAGTTGCAAGCTGGATATTTGACATTTAACAGATTAGATGCTCTGTGCATTCATAGGTAATTTCTGGGCAGGGAAAGGTAAGTTCTAAGTTGTTAATATACTGAATGTCTCTCTTACACTGCTTGTTTGAATCACTCAGCCTATCAATCACTTTAAATCATACTTCTCCCAATGCCAGTCCCACAAATTCCACCCTGGGTAATCGCATGCCTATGATGGAGATTTTTATGAACTAAGTGACTTCATGAACTATGAATAAGAAAATCCTTACTCTTAAAAGAAAGCCAGTGACACCAAGAGTTTCTACTTTTTTATATCCTTCCTTACAGCAGGGTGGGATATAAGGATACTAAAAGTTTTGCAACCCTCATATGATATTTTGAATTAGACTCACACTCCTAAAATCTCTCTCTCTCATGTGTAGCCAAAGACTCAAAAAGTTATAGCAATTTTTAAAAAATACATCAGAAGCAGGAAGCCTGCTAAACAACGAGCGGGGCCACTGGACAATTGAGATGATAAAGGAGCAGTCAAGGCATATAAGGCCATTGCGGAAAAACTAAACTAATTCTTCGCATTGGTCTTCATGGGTGAGGATGTGAGAGAGATTCCCAAACTTGAGCCATTCTTTTTAGGTGACAAATTTGAGGAACTGTCCCAGATTGAGGTGTCAGAGGAGATTTTGGAACAAACTGATAAATTAAACAGCAATAAGTCACCAGAACTAGATGGTATTCACCCAAGAGTTCCGAAGGAACTCAAATGTGAAATTGCAGAAATACTAACTGTAGTCTGTAACCTATCATTTAAATCCGCTTCTGTACCAGATGACTGGAGGATAGTTAACGTGACGCCAATTTTTAAAAAGGGCTCCAGAGGTGACTGTGGCAATTACATGCTGGTAAAACTAACTTCAGTACCGGGCAAACTAGTTGAAACTATAGTAAAGAACAGAATTATCAGACACATAGATGAACATGATTTGTTGGGGAAGAGTCAACATGGTTTTTGTAAAGGGAAATCATGCCTCACTCTCTGATGGGGTCAAGCAGCATGTGGACAAGGGGGATCCAGTGGATATGGTGTACTTAGATTTTCAGAAAGCCTTTGACAAGGTCCCTCACCAAAGGCTCTTAAGCAAAGTAAGCTGTGATGGGGTAAGAGGGAAGATCCTCTCCTGGATTGATAAGAAGTTAATATATAGGAAACAAAGGATAGGAATAAATTATCAGTTTTCAAAATGAAGAGAGGTAAATAGTGATGTCCCCAAGGGGTCTGTACTGGGACCATCCTATTCAACATATTCATAAATGATCTGGAAAAAGGGGTAAACAGTGAGGAGGCAAAATTTGCAGATGATACAAAACTACTCAAGGTAGTTAAGTCCAAAGCAGACTGCGAAGCATTACAAAGGGATCGAACAAAACTGGGTGACTAGGCAACAAAATGGCAGATGAAATTCAATGTTGATAAATGCAAAGTAATGCACATTGGAAAACATTATCCCAACTATACATATAAAATGATGGCGTCTAAATTAGTTACCACTCAAGAAAGAGACCTTGGAGTCATTGTGGATAGTTCTCTGAAAACATCCACTCAATGTGCAGCGGCAGTCAAAAAAGCGAACAGAATGTTGGGCATCATTAAGAAAGGGATAGATAATAAGACAGAAAACATCATATTGCCTCTATATAAATCCATGGTACACCCACAACTTGAATACTGCGTGCAGATGTGGTCGCCTCATCTCAAAAAAGATGTATTTGAATTGGAAAAGATACAGTAAAGGGCAAAAAAAATGATTAGGGGTATGGAACAGCTTCCATATGAGGAGAGATTAATAAGACTGGGACTTTTCAGCTTGGAAAAGAGACGACTAAGGGTGGGGAATATGATAGAAGTCTATAAAATCATGACTGGTGTGGAGAAAGTAAATAAGGAAGTGTTATTTACTCCTTCTCATAACACAAGAAGTAGGGGTCACCAAATGAAATTAATAGGCAGCAGGTTTAAAACAAACAAAAGGAAATATTTCTTCACACAACGCACAGTCATCATGTGGAACTCTTTGCCAGAGGATGCTGTGAAGACCAAGACTCTAACAGGGTTCAAAAAAGAACTAGATAAATTCAAGGAGGACAGGTTGATCAATGACTATTAGCTAAGATGGGCAGGGATGGTATCCCTAGCCTGTTTGCCAGAAGCTGGGAATGGGCAACAGGGGATGGATCACTTGATGATTACGTGTTCTGTTCATTCCCTCTGAAGCACCTGGCATTGGCCACTGCTGGAAGACAGGATACTGGGCTAGATGGACCTTTGGTCTAAGCCAGTATGGTCGTTCTTTTCCCAATGGCCAGATCTTGCACACAAGAGCAGGCAGACTGACTGCGACACCAACATATTTAGACTGTTTTGTGAATGTCCGACCAAGGTACTGAACGGGACTGTCCTTTTCCAGTTTACCTAGGCCAGCAAACATTCCAAGTGCTGCCTGAAGCATTAAGGTCTGATGCTATCTGGAATTTTTCAGAATTCCTTCATGTGGTTTTTGCAATAATTTCTTAAGTTCAAATCACCAGAGTTTAAATTGCTTGGTTTAATATTTTTTTGGATGGCAGCTGAGGGAAGCTAGGGAAAGAATATGGTAGTATTTAAGGTCAAGATCCTGAAATTGGATCCTTGCAATAGGACTTTTGCAGAACCCTACTGAACCGGGGGGTGGGGAGCCCTGCCCACAGGAACCCTAACCCTTGGGCGGGGAGCCCTACCCACAGGAACCCTATCCATGGACAGTAGGTATAATAGGCCATGGGAGCTGCCGGGGCCACTGGACCCCTGGTTGGGGGTTTGGCAGGAGAAGTTTTTACTTTATTATGCCCCATGCAGGTTCCAGGGCAGCTTAGGTGGCGGTATGTGCTATTCAGCTTCCAGGGCTCATCAGTAATCTCCCTGGACTCCAGAGAGATTACTGAGGAACCAAGGAAGATGAGTAGCAAATACCTCCTCCCCAGCTGCCCTGGAACCTGCATGGGGCATATCAAAACCTTCTTCGAGAGAGTGACAGCTTTTCCCCAGGGCGGCTTGGGGTCTGGGGAGGGGTGGCCCGGCGCAGCTGTGGCTGGCCCGGGGCTTCTCTGAGCAGGTGGGGGGACTCAGGGTACCTCCGGGCAGATAGGGGGTGGGGGGAGATCCAGGCTGTGGCTGGCCTAGGACTCCTCCGGGTAGTTGGGGGGTGGGGCTCTGCCCGGCTCATAGCTCCGGACAAGGGTGGGGGGCGTTCGGGCCGCCGGCCATCCTGGGGCTCCTCTGACTGAGGGTGGGGCAGGGGGTCTCAGGGCTCCAGCTACAGAGAGAGGACGCAATAGAAAGGGGTGTAGCCAAGGGTTAGCGTCCCTGAAGGGGGGCTCCACACACTGCCCATGACCCTATCGCTAACTACACGTGATCTACCCTTTGGAACCCTAAATTTAGGATGGGGATCCCAACCCATAGGAACACTAATGGTAGGGCGGGGAGCCCTATGCATAGGAACCCTAACCCTAGGGCGGGGAGCTCTACCCATAAAAACCCTAACCCAGACTCCAAGTGGCCGACCAATAGGAACCCTAACCCTAGGTGGGGATCCTTACACGTAGGAACTCTAACCCTCGGACAGGGAGCCCTACCTATAGGAACCCTAACCCTCACTCAATGTGGCCTACCCATAGGAACCCTCAACCAAGTGACCTACCCATAAGAACCCTAACTCCAAGATGCCTAACCATACAAACCCTAACCCTAGGATGGGGAGCCCTACCCATATGAACCCTAACCAGAGGGACTGGAGCCCTACCCATAAGAAACCTAACACAAACTCCAAGTGGCCTACACATAGGACCTCTAACTCTAGGTTGGGGATCCCTACACATAGGCACCCTAACACTAGGGTATGAGACTATATGCTAGTGCCAGAGTCCTCCCACCTGAATCTGAGTACAGGAGTGGGTCTTAGTGACTGATAACATTCTTAATTTAATTAATTCAGATTAACATTTCTAATGCACTTTGAAGAAGAGAAAGACTATGAACACTATTTTTCTGGGTTAGGTATCTGTAAAACTTAATTAAATCTGTATTCCTATTAACCTTCAGAGTTAGCATTTGGACTCAAATTAAAGGGAGAAGACAGTCAACTAAAACAAGGACAAACATCTGTCTCAAGTTTTGTTTTTAAAACCTATTACCGTTAAACAAGATGTGAGAATGCAACACCTGAAAGAGATCAGAGAAGAATCTCATCCTCTCCCCTTTGTACATTTGACAAATCTGTGTCTAGTCAGTTTCACTGTTGCCCTTGTACAGACCGCTAGGGCCTGAACCTGCATTTTTACTCAGGCATGGCAGTACTTCTGTGAATACAAGTAAGCACATGTAAGTCTTGACAAGATCAAAGCCATAGTTGGTTTCCCCCTCTGTTTGTGTGGGTCCTTTACACAGCAATAGGGGAGAGAAAAAACATAAAAAGAACAGGGAAACATGACTGTGAAGCCACAGAAGTTAGCAGGGAGACTCAGACACAAGTGAAGGATCTGAAAGTACTTTTAAACTCATCTTTTGAAACCAATTAGATTTCAAGCCAAATATGTGCCATTAATAGAAACAAGCCTCAGTTCCTAGCAACACGTGAAGTCATGTGCAGTTTCCACTCAAACAAGAGTAATCTTTCACCTGTAACTATAATCCTTAAAGAGGGAACTAGATACATTTAGATATGGGTAAAACACCAAGGATCACAGACCAAAGACTGGAAGGTCAGGGAACTTGCACTTTACTTAGCAATTCAATTACACCTTCTTTAGTAAGGAACATGATCTCGCCAGTGTTTTGATTCCAAACTTCAAACTCGGGGGGATTATCAAAAACTTTCTTCCCAGCTATTATAACATACGGGTAACCAAGTCTGTTAGCATCTTTTAATCTTTTACCAATGGTCAAGTGAGTCCTGTCATCCAGCACAGCTTCCCCTTTAATCTGAGGCACGGCTTCGACAATACTGTCATATAAATTATCCATTAGCACCGCACCCATCTCTTCCTTGCTGCCTTTCTTAGGGGGAATGAGGCAGACCTGGTAAGGTGCAATGAGGGCTGGCCAACGGATGCTGTCTTCTGTTGAAAGCACCTCGACAGAAGCAGCCAGAATCCGAGTTATGCCCAAGCCATAGCAACCCATTTCTGCTAGGACAGGTTTGTTTTGGGCAGTGTGGAAGTTGACATTAAAAACAGAAGAGTACTTGGTGCCCAGATAAAACGTATGCCCAACTTCAATCCCTTTGCTCTCAGACAGTTTTCCTTTGCAAACTGGGCAGTCTGTCTGGTCAGGATTTATTGTTTCCACGTTGGCTGAAAAACTACAGTTGGAGCAGATCATCAGCCTGTCCTCTCCAATGCCTGCAGGGAGCTGGAACTCGTGGGACATGCTCCCCCCAATGCTGCCCGTATCTGCCTGCACTTTGACAAAGTGGAACCCCAAGCTGTTAAACACGTTGCAGTAGGCCTCACACACCAGGCTGTAGGTCTGGCGAGCAGCTTCCTCACAGGTGTCAAATGTGTACATGTCCTTCATGTAGAATTCCCTGCTGCGCAGCAAGCCAAAACGGGGCTTGGGCTCATCTCGAAACTTCCGTGTTATCTGATATAGCAGGAGCGGCAGCTGCTTGTAGGACAAGTTCGCTTGGGAGGCAATCAGGTCTGCGATGGTCTCTTCGTGAGTTGGCCCCAGACAGTACTCTTTGCTGTGTCTGTCTGCAAGTCGGAAGAGCTCTTTGCCCATTAAATCCCACCGCCCACTGGATCTCCAGAGCTCTGCAGAACTTAAACTGGGCATATTTAGCTTCTGCCCCCCGATAGCCTGCATTTCTTGGTCTATCACCTTGACAAGCTTCTCCATTGCTCGAACAGTGTAAGGCATGTAGTAGTAGCAGCCGGGGCTAGAGGGGTAGATTAACCCTGCTTGTATCATCAGCCTCTGACTCTTACATGTCAGATCGTCAGGTTTGCTTTCCAGCCCAACCACACCGTCCTCCCGAAGATTCAGAGGCTGAAAGAGCTGGGACAGCACCAGACGCTTTGCTCTGTGAGGGGGGCCATGGTGACATCTATAAAGATACTGCCTCTGGAGGACACGGGTTGTCAGACCAGGAAGCAATTCCTTCCATCGTCTTAGCAGCCATTCCATCCCCAGAGCCATGGAGGAACCTCTGTCAAACCTGCCGTGGGACAGAGTGCCATGCACATAAAGCATTACCATAGCCATATGAACGTCAATTATGTTAGCTCAGGAACATCCCAAGTGAGGGCCACCTTCCACTGACATAAGCGAGGGGCAGGCTGCAGCCAACTTCATGGAGGTGTGGCCCACCCCCTACCATGCCATGCTCCATGCTGACCCAAGCGGCCCAGGCTGCAGAGACAAGAGACTCCCCGCTCCCCCGGTGTTTGCCATAAAACGGAGCATCGCCTGCTGTGACCGGGCACCTCCCCACCCCTCCGGAGCGGCGCATCCCACGCGGGGCCCCGCTGGGCTCGGAGCAGCGCGTTCCCCGCTGCGGGGTCCCGGCGCGGCTCGGGCCGCGGGTGTCTAACCGGGGCAGGGCGCGGCAGGCTGGCACGGGCTCCCCTCAGGCGCTGGGTGCCCGGCGAGTCTGCAGCGGGAGCTGCTGGCCGGGCTCCCGGGCTCGGCTGCGGGGCTCCCGCCTACGCGCTGCACAACAGGCCCGGGAAGGGTGGCGGCTCCCGGGGCAACGGCCTTGGAGCTGCCGGCTAGACCCGGGCACAACCTCCCCTCAAACCCAGCCCGGGGCTACCCCCCCGCCCGCGCGCGAGCAGCCGCCTCACCCCGGCCCTCCGCCGCGCCCGAAGTGCCCGCCAAGGGCCATGCGATGTGCGCATGCGCCAAAAGAGGCTTCCCGGAGGCTCGGTCTAGCTAGCCAATCAGAAAGAAAGTTCCGTGGCACGTGATGCCCCCAGAGCCCGAAACGGCTCAACTCAGGGGATATGCCGGAAGAAGCCGTTCTTCGTGACATCATAGAGAGAGGGTGGCTGGAGCAGGGACTTCCTGCCAGTGGAGACTCTCCTTCCGCTGGGAGGCTGAACTCTATGATCAGTGCTTTCACCGGCCACCTGGAACGCCTTCATAGAATCCTAGACTATCAGGGTTGGAAGGGACCTCAGGAGATCATCTAGTCCAACCCCCTGCTCAAAGCAGGATCAATCCCCAACTAAATCCCCAAATGGCCCCCTCAAGGATTGAACTCACAACCCTGGGTTTAAGCAGGCTCAACGCTCAAACCACTGAGCTATCCCTCCTCCTTCATTGGGGAGGGAATCGTTAAATACGGAAATTTAGTCGCAACGTTAATGTGGGGTGTGCTGCCAGGACCGACTGTGAAGTATTTGCAACGATGTCATTGCTTATGCCCAAATAAATGTGTTAGTCTCTAAGGTGCCACAAATTGCTGCCTGGAGGTGCACTGCTCAGTGCATTCCCGCGCTGTTCATGTTGGCAGGCTCTAGCGGCTGTACCGCTCTCAGGTCTAGCGGGCAGTATCGCCCACGGTGGCAACGTTAGCACACGTTTTGCAAAAATTGGTGTTTTCACGAAAGCACCAGCGCCTGGAGTCATGTGATTATGTGAGAATCGCAGCTTTTATTTTTTTAAAAAAGTAACTCACTAGCCCTTGTGGTTGTGGGGAAAAGCTGGAAAATGGGACCCATGTGTAAGCTAGAAGCTCAAAACCCATAAGGCAACATATAACCCCTCCAACATTTATAACGGTTAAAAATGTCTTCCCGACTTTGGGGGCCTGACTCGTGATTTTTGAACGCTTCCGGTTGGCTGCACGGGGCAGAAATCAGAGCATATTTCAACATGGCAAACTGGCTTCAAGTATTAACTCCAGACTGAGCAGTAATTTGACACAAAGTGTGTTCTGTGAATGTTGCATGCATGTCGACACTCACAGAATGTTAGTGAAAAGGAAGCATGCGGCATCCTCAGCCCTTATCAAAGAGCCAGGTATTGCAGAATTGCCAACATGCAGAAAATGTTGCCAGGCACAATGTCTCAAACACGCCAAGCGGGGACCAGGTCTGAGCATCCAGTTGGTGTCTCCTTGGGGACCTATCAGACTCTTTGCCCCCAGCAAAGGACTGGAGAAAGGATTCCGCGCTGGAGATTGGAAACGGCAAGAGGGGTAAGCAAGAGCACCTGTGACCCTTTCTCTGTGGCCATGGAACCGTTTGGAGGAGAGAAACATCCCTCCAGGCTGTAGCCCCTCTGAAAGAGGCCTGGGTAGGTGGGGACACTAAGGGTACGTGTGTGTGTCTACCCAGCCTGCGGCAGTGAGCCTCCCAGCCCAGGTGAACAGACTGCGGCTTAGGCTACAGCACTAAAGTTGGCTGTGAAGATGTTGTAACTCACATTCTGAAGCCTAGGGAGGAGGGTGGGCTTCAGGGCCCAAGCTCCAGCATGAGCCATGACTTAGAAGCACTTTCTACACAGCTGTTATTAGTACAAGCCTGAGTCTGTTGACCTGGGCTCAGAGGCTTGCTGCTGCGGTACCGTGACAGGCTGTCTCTCCTCTCCCCTCCCTCCCTCTGAGGGGTGGGGTAAAGGCTGTCAAGCAGCGAGTGCATGGAGCTGCCCTCAGCTGTCAGTCAAGAAAGAGTGGCCAGTAGGTACATTAATGCAGCAGAATTAATTTCTACAGACATTGCTTTGAAATGAGGCAACATATTCCTAAATAGCTGGTGTGCTGTGACCGCTGCTTCTGACAGCAATAAGACCCGCCTTACTGTTCCCTTTCATCCCCCACCCTGTTTGTTGTATCCACCTGTTGTATCTCATCACATACTTAGATTGTAAGCCCTTTGCACCAGGGACTGTCTTTGTGTTATGTGTGTGTAAATAGCACCAGGCACATTGTGGCCCCGATCTCATTTGGGGCTTGTAGGCATTACCACAATAACAATAAAGATAATAATGATTGAAACAATTTCAATAGACAGTAGCAACGTGGAAGAAATGGCAAGCTTGTCCCTTTTTACACTTTCACAGTGTAAATGTCTTTATTCAATGAAAAATCAATATGCAGCCATTTTTATTTACATGTTGCCCGCCCAGTAAATATTGATAGAGCGGCTATAAGACTAAATGTTATTTGATGCCGTTATTCACATATGCCTTAGGAAACACATCATCTGTCTCCTCTGTAATATATAATTTGGTTTCCATCTGTCTGTTTTACTGATGAGTCATACGTTGCTAAACAAATGTTATCACCTTCATTTAATAAATTATGTTGACAGGAAATATAAATATTGTAACAAATCCATGGCCATATAGGATCTTTGTGACTGTCACCATGCTGTATCTCCCCAGCCCTACGGCGCTGCGCATTCCATTTCAATGCCCATTTGGAACTTTACAGCAATAGCGGGGGTAGAACTCACAGCCACTACCACTTGAGCTAAAGGAAAATTACCACCTATAGGTGGCAACAAACAGCTAAGCAGTGCTGATTTCCTCCAGCAGAGAGCCGTGGTTCACATACCTACTTGCTAATTCATTGTACCGCTACTTGGAAGCTGGGATACTTTAAGAGCGATTCTCAGAAACTGAGGATAATTAATTTCAGGCATTACCAGGTAATAATAACCTGGGAGCATCCTAAAAGGCAGAGAAACAGCAGCCCAGTTTCAACCACAATGCAGGCAGGGCCCCATGGCCCTTTCATTGTTCTGTTTAGCGTATAGGAATTGGGTAGTATCTGTTTAAATAGTTTGTGAACCCTCTAGTAGTGCTCACTGTGTTCTATGGTTTAGAAAGCTGCCAGAGTAACAGTATATCTGTATAACTGACCTTGCATGTTGTGTGTATTGCGTAAACATGGTTATCTGGACCCCATTGTGCCCAGGTGGTTTCTACATACCATTACTGTTGTGCAGCTGGAAAGAGGCCCAACTCTGTGTCTTGGTTCTTGTTTGTTATTGTAATTAAGTTCTTCTTCCAGGGCCTAATTCCCTTCCAACCAAAGAAAATGGGAAATTTGTGACTTATTTTAATGGAAGCAAGATTAGGCCCTCAGAGTATTATCATGGAAAGCGCCTTTCATATCTTTAAAACTCCATTAGAAATCCAGTAAAAGTAGGTAGAGCACCTCACATAAAACAAAATATGCGTATGGCTCAGTGATGTGCTGCTAACAGTTACCCCCACAAACATTTCCGTGATAAACCTAGGTGCTGGAGATATGCACACCCACGGAAAAGGAGAGAGAATCTAGTCATTTGAAACAAAATGCTTTCTCAGAACTAATGTAAAACCAGAGAATGAGGCAAAAATCAAAAGACAAAGAAACTTACATTAAACACAGCTTTGCTGGAAAGGTATATAATTTGTTCCACTAAAATATACAGAGGACATTCATGAGAGAAAGAGAAAGAGATGAAACCCTTGCCCTGAGTTAGGAAAATATCCTCTTCCCAGCATTCTGCGCCATCTGATGCACCCCAACTGGAAGATCTTTGCCCCTCAGAAGTATTTTTATGAGCACCAGGCCAGAGTCAGCAGTATCAAGAGACTCCCTCAGAGGCAGAGAAACCACCTCAAACTTCATCCCAATTCAGAAGAATTTTAGGTGCTCCCAGGAGCCCCCAACAACCATCATTAGTTCAGTTATTAGTATTAGTGGTTTAATGGTAAAATTCTCACTGTGCATGTGTCTGTTTCATACAGGTCTTTATACTGCGCTTATCACCATAGGATGGGAAATCTGTGTTTGATTCCCAACCAGTGCAGGGCTGAGTTGGGGATCAGATACTATGGTGATGGGAGGCAGTATAAAAGCGTAAGGTAGAAAAGACTGAACATCTGAGATTGTCTAGTATTCAACAGATCATGTTTCCTTCCCGCACTAAAATCTTTCTTACCTTATTAACAGATGTGTTATTCATTTGTTTAAAATGAAATCCAAGGATTGTGGCCTGATCCTACATGTGCTGAGCACCCTCAATTCCCAATGAGTTTGCAGGAGCAGAACTCTGCATTAGCTGCATTCGCTTAATGAAAAGGAGGATAATTGAGTGGAGACCAACACCAGCACAGAGGCTATTCTACAGTGGATGATATCACATCCCCAGAATGTAATGGAGGCAGAGTTGTCCCGCGGATAGGGTGGCAGTCTGGGAAGCAAGAGATCTGGATTCTACTTCCAGCTTTGCCAGTAACTTGCTGTGTGGCCTTGAGCACATTTCAGACCAGGTCCACCCTGAGAAACCTGGAGCCTGATTTTCAGAGGGGTTGAGCACTCACAGCTTCGAGTGAACTCAAAAATTGGAGGTACCCATAATCAGAGATCACTTTTCATTATTTGGTCTGTACCTCAGTTTCTCCATTTGTGAAACAGAGACAGTAATACTTGGCCACTTCTGCACACTGCTCAGAGATCTGCGGATAAGAGTTAAATGGTTAGTTATTGTCTACTGCCCGTTTGATGAGATATGAGAGAGCTAGGTGTGTTCAGACAGTATCAGCCAGGAGGCAATTGTGCTGCATGATGTGATTCCAACGTCGGTTGTTCAGAAGGAGAGTGATCGCTCATTTAGTTTGGGCTTGGAAAAGTCAGTCTTTATTGTCTCAAACAGCATCTTCACCAGCTCGGTATTCCCTCTGGTGACCATGGCTTTGGAGAGCTCGATCACCTCTGTTGTGTGATTGCGACACACCAGTCTCAGCTCCTGGCGGACACGCTGCTTTGGGTATTTCTCCTCAGCCTTCTTTACCCACAATTCCACCTCCTGCATCAGCATCTCGGCATTCACCCTCTTCTGACTGAACAGTATAAGGAGTGTCTCCATCAGGCACCGGAAACTCTCTGTGTAGGTGGAGCCCACATCGTCCAGTTCTATGGCTCGCTTGAAGCACCCAATGGCATTGGACTCCTCATTTTTAAGCCGCAGGCATTTCCCCCTAAGCAGCTGTATTTCCGGTAGTGTATCTCCCAGGTCAAACTCCATGGCTTTCGCAAAGAACTCCAAAGCATTGTCCAGTGCAGTCTCGTCCACTGGGAATAGTTCCTGCATGGCATCAACACCCATGTAATAGTAGACCTAGAAGGACATAATGACAGAATGACTGCAGATTCACAGCCGTGGTTTACAGGGAAACTGCAGAGCCTTTTACTACTGCCTGAGAAGACTGCACTACGCCGGGGTAACATTCGTTAGCAGAATCCACCAGTGGACCACGCAAAGTGGCCACGGCATAGTTGAGGCTCTGGGCCAGTCTGCATACATTATACACAACCATCATTTGAGCCCTCCAGTTCACCTCCCTCCACCTCCGGCCCTACACTGATTCTTAGGGTACGTCTACACAGCAGAAGCTGTGCACAGGCTAGCCTGCCCAAGCTAGCGTGAATCCAGCTAGCACTGGTAACAACAGCAGTGAAGACAATGCGGTGTGGGCTTCAGCACAGGTAGTAGAAGCCCAGCAGGGACCCTGAGTATATACATGGCTCGCTAGCCCACCCAGGACCCCACACTGTGCTATCTTCACTGCTAATTGGATTCAAGCTAGCTTGTGTAGGCTAGCCCTTGTTCAGCTTTTCCTGTGCAGACATACCCCAAGAGCCAGGACTCAGCCTTCAGGGTTTCTATGTTCTATTGTTCTTCTTGTTTCTTTAAGTAGTGAATGTAAATAAAAACATGAAGACATGAAAAAAGCAGCCGCTGATCTCACTGGGAGAGCATCTGTGTATTTACTCACCTGGCCTATGTCCAGGTATGTCTTCAAGCACGGACAAACCTTTACAACGCTTTCAAGGTCCTCTTTAGCACTGGTGAGATTTTTCCTGTCTGGCATGCCTCCCAAACCCATCTTTGCACGTTCCAGATCTCGCAGATAGAGCTTAATGTGGATCTAAACACAGGAGGAAACTCATTCTGGTATACATCCAGTTTCAATGTTATCCCTCCTGCCACAATATTTGGGGTTAGTTCATGCTTGTAGGGCCATTTTAACATATATAGCACTAAATATATTAATATTAGTAAAAAAAAATGAACACATTGGGCCAGATCCTCAGTTGGGGTTAATCAGTGTAGCTCCACTGCAAGCCAAGTTACATGAGCCAAGGAGCTGTCTATCTTGCCCATCACCAAAGTGTCTGAGTGCCTAAGACAACATATTTCCACACACCTCCTGGAGATGTGTTGACCAGTTACTGGAATCCCCTTTCACAGTGATGAGGATGTAACTACCAATTGATCTAATAATCCTATTATATGAATAGAATTGGGGAGCACTACATGTTTCTGTCAGTTGCACCACTGCACCCCATTGGCGATCCGAGGAGTTTTAACTTAGTAAGAACTGCAGAATCAAGCCCTTTGTTTTATATTGTTTTGTAGTCTTCTGAAGCTGAGTCTAGTTAAGACACAGTCTGGCTTTCAGAAACCGCCCTAATGCTGCATTTTTTTGGCCTCATACCTGCATGCAGCTGAGCTTCAAGAGAAATTAGAAACCTCCTTTGAAGGACAGGTCTAGCCACACACTAAGGATACCCAGGACAGCCTGAACATTCACTTGTGAGGTAATTTATTTCTTAAGGAATTGAATATTTCATGTTTTAAAAAATAAATAAAGTGAGAATTAATCTCAGGTTTATTTAAAAACCACCCAACCAACTCCCATTTCAGTACTTTGCTGCTGTTATAATAGGAAATAACCAATAACAATACTCCCGGCTATTTGAGGTAGGAATCATCAACACCACTGTACAAATGGGGACACCCAGGTACAGACAGATAGAGGGTAACACTTTCAAAAGATCGTAAATGATTTAGGAGCCTAAGTCTCATTCAAAGTCAATAGGACTTCAGCTCCCAAATGCCTGAAAATTAGACTTAGGTGGCTAAGTCACTTATTAACATTTGAAAATGTTACCCTAGGTGAGTTCATGGCAGAGCCAGCACTGAACTCAGATCTCCAGGCTGGCTCTTTAACTATGAGACCATCCTTCCTCCCCAGTTTATTTTCCCTTTGGGTGACTGCTTTGACTATCACATCACATAGCGCAGGACAATGATAGCTGAAGCTAAACGCTAGAAAAGAAGCTATCAGGAATCCCTAGTGGAATCCCACTGGCGCAGACAGAGCCATTTCCAGGAGCCATATCAGTGAAAGGCTCCTCAGATCACGAAGAGGAATTTGACTCCTGAGTACAAGGCCAGGCCTGGTGAGCCCCATTTTCCAAGAGAAATCTCCCCTGGGGCCCTGTATCCTGGGTGAATCAGCTGGCAAGCCGCTCAGGGATGAAGATGCTTATTCAAATGATGCCTCCAATATTCACCAGTGGCACAGAGAGGCTGTGGATCTTGGCAAATGCCCTCTCCAGTTGGCTGACTGCACTCGGCTGGCAGGGCTTGAAAAGCAGATCAATGGCCTTACACGGGGATTCTGCATTTTGGAAGTTCACAGATCTTCTGTCAAGTAAAGCCCTTAATGGAAACACATAGAGTCAGGCTGGCTCCTGGAAGGAGGGAGGCAGTGGTAGGTTTTTATTCTGGGTGGAGAGTGGCAGGAAACCAGCATTACCTTCTGCTGGAACTCAAGTGCCTCCCTGTGATTTGGGGCCCAATCTGAAGGCCATTGAAGCTGCTGGGAAGATTCTCACTGACTTCAATGGGCTTTGGATCAGGCCCAAGATTCCACCAACCTGCTCTTGTGTAATGACAGCGAATGAGAAATGTTGATACCTCAATGGGCCAGATCAGTTTCCATAATTATTAATATTTACAGCAACGGTGTATATCTCCTGGGATGCCTTTTATCTAGAAGTGTCCCAAAGTGAGTAACAAACTAAACAGAGGGATCATTTCACCCACCACTGATATACAGCCACCTCTGGGGTGGAACATGGCAGCTGTTTCACATCACAAAGCAACACTGCACAACAGGTTAGAAGAGGAAATGAAGGGTACTAAATGCACATGCTTACTTAGTTTCTTAAATTTAGGCCCCAATTCAGCAGAACTTTAGGCACCTGTTTCACTTTCAGCACATGAGGCATCTCACTCCTATTCAGCAGAGCACATAAGCACATCTTTCACTGTAAGCAGGTGAATAGTTCCATTTCAGTCAGCGGGACTATGCATGTGCTTAAAGTGACAAAAGTGCTCACGCGCTTTGCTACAACGGAGCCTTACTTTTTTAAAGTGAGGCTGCAGTCCCTTTCAGAAAAAAATTGTATGTTCCAATGGGCTTCCCAGGACGAGCGGAAGCTTGTGCAAGGTGCCACTCCAGAAATCAAGCAAAATGACATAGACAGAAATGTGAGTTGTTGGGTTTGTTTGGTAAGTTTAGCATAGCCTCAAATCTTGTGCAAATGACGAGGTTGCTAGAAATATTGCCACAAGGCCAGTCCCTGGCCAGGTTAGGGGCTGCTCTGGCTCTTGGTTCAGACTTTGGTGTCAAAGACAAGCAACGTACCTTGGCCCGCGTGCAGTAGGCCTGCCAGTTGAGCTCTGGATCTTGTAGGAGATTTAGCGCCATATTGCAGATTCCCATAGCCATTTCTTGCTTGCCCAGGAAGTGGAAAATTTTTGCCAGTCGGTTTAGTGTGGGAGGATTGTCTTTAGCTATTTCTATTGCCTTTTGAAACCAAGAAAGCAAAACATATTCCCATCAGTGAACTGCCCCTTACTGTACCGATCAAAGGCCCGGAAACATCCCTGATTCAACTGGATCGTCTGTGTTATTCACAGACTGGCTTTTGTGACTGACTGACTGTAGTTTGTTGTGACTCAGATGATGAGTCAAAAGCTGCACGGGTACTGACTCACAATGGTGCGGTACTTTTAAATAGGCAGATTCCTGCACTCCGCTTTACTGCTGCCCTCAGGGCTTGGCATCTACAGGCCCTCAACAAACATGGTTGCCTCAACTTCTCATTTCACCTAGCCAAAAGAGGAAGAAGAAAAACCCAGTCATTTCTCAGAAATATTTAGGGGCAGATTCTGATCCCCTATCTGACTGAGTAGCACCTCTCTCCATGCATGATCCAGCCCCATTAAAGTCAACGGGATCATTGGCTGAGCATAAGCTACCCATTGTAAGGAGAGGCATTAGATTCTGGCCTAGAAAAGCCACCACCCAATGATTCCTTCTGCTAACTCAGTAGTAACCATACCCTGTGTCATAACCCATGGCCTCGAACCCAGGCCCACAGGAGCAGCCATGCTTCAACCCTCCATTTGGCAACCTGCTGATAACTTCTGACCCAGGAAACACAGCCCCAGATTGAGGGTCCGCCCTGATATCCTATTGATGAAGTCCCAGAGCAGCCGATTGGCTCACTGGCCCTACTTAAGTCAGGAACAGGAAAGCTGTCTGAACAACTGGGATTCACTGTGCTCTGGACTGGGTGCTTCCCGCTCCCCTGGCTTGACTTCCCAGTATCCTGACCTGACTCGGCTCCTGACCTCTGGCTTGTGATTCTGATCTCCCGGTATCCTGACCCAGCCTGACTCTCAACTCCTGACTGTGGACTCCAGCTCTGACCACTAGATCTGGCTGCTCACGACTTGGCCTTGACACCCTGGACTAATAAGCACCTCAGCATCTACATTATTTAAGTCAGGACACAGTTATTACCTCAGAAACAGGAAGCACCTTAAATTTTCCACGTGCTATTTTTTTAAAACTCCAAAGTAATCGACTTAGGTTCATACATCAGGCCCATTACCACAGCGTCTTGGTGCCTGATTAAGGGCTGTAGAGATACAGGTCTGGAGCCACACTATCCCAGCAGGGAACTCTGGGAGGCAATGCGGGGAGAGTATGGGTGCGGGCCTACGTCGTATGAGGGGAGCTTTCCCGACCATTGTGGAATGGGGACTGGGTTATAGCCCTGCCTCCTTCCCAGCCCTCCATGGAGTGGCCAGTGCAGGCACTGGAATTCTGCCTGCACTCTGTATAGGGCATTGAAAGGGGAGGAGACTCCTTCTCCCTCCCTCTTCATGCACTCCCATAAGGCTAGACCCGACTGATAACGGCAATAGACTTAGCCACTGTTCTTGGCAGAGGTGGCTGTGAGCCCAAACCATGGCTCAAGCCAGCCCTGAGGTTTGGGAGAGTTTAGCTCTGGATCCTGACTGGATGGGTGGCTTAGGCCTGTACATGCCAACGCTGCCTTGCGTGATTATAATCTTAACCCGAGAGCTGGCAGGACTGCTGAGTTGCACGTGTAACCCAGGCAGGCTGCCAATGGAGCATGTGATTCCTCAGTTACATTGGGAGCAGGGGTGTAGTCAGTGTGAGGCTCAGGTGCTTGTATAAGGGGTGGAGGCTGTGTGTGTGGGGGGTAAAACAAACACCCGGCCTAATCCTTCTCCCTTCTCTCCATTCCCTGGGACTCTCCCATCCCTAGAACTTCTTCACTCTTAACAAAAATTAACCCCTGGATGCTTCCTCCAGCCTCATCTTACAGCTTGGGCCCCTGGGCTGCAGTAAGTGGTAGCTCTTGTCATCAGTGGAACGAGACTGATTCACACCACCTGAGAATCTGACCCAGTGTCCTTGATGGTGAGGTCTGCTTGTGTAAGACAGAGATCCTAAGCTCTGCTGGCTTTGTCTTAGATGTACTGCTCATTCTGGAGTGCCTCGGAGTAGGGCAAAGGAGGCATGAGGATGGGGTGACGGGGAAGGAGCAGATAAGAAGGGAATGCGGAGGAGAGAAATGGCAATCTGCATGGCTTATGGGGGATGTAGGTGGAAAGGAGTGAGCAATGGGGTCTTCCCCAAGTCTTCTTGTTACACGCTAGCAATGAAGTAAAAAAGCACCTTGCCAAAGCAATCAAGGGGCCCAGTCCCAGAGTAACCACAGTCATGGATCCCCATCGGGGTGGTGGAAAACGTCTCTTTCCTTTCCAGCAGCATCCCGAGGTAGCACCAGGCCAGAGCTGGGGGGTGGGGGGTGGAGAACAGAAGTCAGAGCAGGTTAGCAGTAAAGACACTAACATTAGAAGCTATCCATCCTGCACAATCAGGTTGAAGGGGCCTTTCACTTTGGAAACAAGAATTCACTGAGCTGCTTTGACAAAAGATGCTTTCCAAAGTCAGGTTAGTTTAGTGAATTTAGTGCTTCTGAGAAGTGCCCAGGAGCCTGGAGTACTTGGTTTATCTGCAGCATGAAGAGTGACAGTGCAAGCTGCCCACACGCTGC